TATAAGACAAAGCAGCACATATCACAATCTCTCGATCTGGGTTGGGTTTTGCAAGCAAGTTAAAGGGTTTATAGGGTTTAAGGCGCTCTGAGCTTCATTTTGGAAATCTTCATCGTTCTTTGTCAACGGCTTTTGCGAAATCCAGGTACCTGTTTAGATTTTGTTATTCTTAAGAGAAGGATAAGATCGCGTAGAGTTGTTCATGATTTTGAAGAATATAAAAGAAAGGAATTTCTTTCTTTTTTTTTGTGATTGTCTCTGTCTGTAATTTCTGGGTTTTGTAAGCCATAGATCTCTACTAGATGTATACAAAGTGTTTGTGGAAATGCCTCAGTGATGGTTGATTTAAATTCCATTGCGTTTAATTTCATAGATCTCGCCGTCAATTTGGTTTCGTGGGTTTGTGCAAAGTTTATAGATTTCGTCACTATTTTGTTGTATGTTCTTCAAAATCCTATGAAATTATGGGGATCCCAAGCGAGAAATTTCCCAGACTTCATCGAATCTTCGCAGTGCCTTTGGTTTTTAAGTTTCAGAAATAAAAATGGATGATGGTTCATGAAATTTCCCAACTTCGGCTTGAATCTTTTAGATTACTTTTGTTTATATGAACGTAGCTCATTTCATGCATGAGCTCAATGTAGATCCTGTAATTTGCAGATGCTTTTAGATTTCACACCGGAATCATCAGTTTCAAGTGAGAATCCTGAAAATGAACTGTTCTTTTCAGTTCTTGCTAATTATTTGTTTTGTTGATTCAATTTGTCATTAGGGACTGAGCTTAGCCTTGACCCTTTCATTTCTTCAAGGTATTATTGTCTCTTCTGCGTGGTGAATCTCGTCTTCTTTCTTTATGATATCTTTCCCTTAGTTTCCTCTTTGTTCTGTTTCAGACTGATTTGTGATTCGAGATGGCGACAGAGCAGAGCGGAGTAGGAAGTCAGGAGAGCCAACCAAACCAAGTGGCTCCTGGTTTTGTAGGAGCAATTGAAGAACAATACAAGAAACTCAGAGATCATGCAGAAGCTTATCCATATGTGTGGGGTTCTTACATTGTTGTCTACGGCGGTCTTTTCCTTTGGACAGGTTATCGATGGAGAAAGCTGAGGAGAACTGAGGATCGAGTTCGTGGTCTTCAGGAAAAACTTCGGAAACTCGTTGAAGATGAACAATCAGCTGTAACAGCTTCTAAATCTGCTCAATCAATCGACAAGTCTTCTTCAGTTTCTGACAAGACAATGCCTTAATTAGCATTTTAGAATCAAAACCATTGTCTCTGTTATACTTTTGACGAGGTTAGTTTATTCCATCTGAATCAATATTCCCGGGGTTTATCTGTTTTGTTGCAAAACTTTGGTTATTTATCCGCGTAGACAAGTAAAATTCATGTACATGAATGAAGAAGAGGAAATGCTGAAATGTTGAAACGCTAAAAAGTCATGTTAAGCGTTGGCTCTAACAAGAGGCCCTTGATTATTTGTTTGCGTTTAAGTTTGTGGTTGCGTTTCTATTCAATGCATTAACGGGTTTAACTCTGTTAAAACTTTTATTTATGTTTATCGGTATATATCATTGGTAAATAGATGGTTTGGTGTACATGAATGAAAAAGGCAATAAAACGCTAAAATGTCAAAAGGCTATAAAGTCATGTTAAGCGTTGTTGTTGTTCTAACAGATAGAGTTTCTGGTGCATTGTAACGCTCCAGCTGAAGAAGTGAGTTCTTTAACGGTTTTAGCGTTTGCGACTGTGAACCTTTGATCTGGCCCGTAATTGGGGCGGGCTTTTCCAACACCTTTGTGTAGGCCGAAACAAGCTCCGTTCTCAAAGTAATCATTCACTGAGTAGAACTTCCATTGCATTTGATCTCCTTTGCTATGTTTCTTCCAAGTTATCTACAACACAAGTTCAAATTTGAATGTTAGATAATGAGAAGAAATGTTGATTTTCGTTTCGTGTTTCACGATTTGCCACCTCTTTGCTTCCGGATTTTGGTGCGACGAAATAATTTGATTCGCTTTTAACACGAGGGCTCATGCTTCCTCCAATTGCATATTGAGTCCACCCTTGGTAATAGTTATTAGTCACATGAGCATATCCATGTCTCACTCTGCATATTTCACATAGTCCATCAAATTAAGAAATCCAAAGAACAGTAAATGATTAGTCTAGGATTTGGTCCAATAAATTATACCTTGGCATTCTCTGATTGCAATTAGGACCAAAGTGGTTAAACACAACAGTGACTCTCATGTCTTTGTCTCTTACATAGCCATCATCATGTCCAAGAAGCATGACCTTGTCTTGGTTCCTAAACCAATTGTTTGACACTGTGACGTCAGTACTCCCTCTTGTGACGTCTAATAGACCGTCTTCGCAATCATAGAGCGTGTTGTGGTCGATCCAGACTTTCTTAGCCGTGACTAGCCTGATCGCGTCCCCGTCCACTTGTCCAAGTTGAATGATCTGTGAGTCTGGTCCCATCACTGAGCTTGGTGGATGAGCTTTACAATCATGGATCTTAAGTCCATGAATGATCACATCCGTGGCTTTATAGACTATGAGACAAGCAGGGCCCGAGATGTGAACGCTAACACCGCGACCATCGAGTGTCGTGAAGCTGCTGATTAGAAGGGGTTTGTGTAGTTTGATCTTCATGTTTCTTTTGAATGTGATCCATTTTTTGCCTTTGATGAGTGTTGCTCCGTATCTTAGAGTTCCGGGTTTAGGGTTTAAAGGATCATCAGAAGGGTCGGTTACTTTGTATTGTGTGACTCCTTTACCGATATTTCCCAACATTTTTCCGGCAAATCCAACCGAACACCGTGCAAGCTGATTGCGGTTTCTACGCCAATGCGGGTTTGGTCTCCAGCATTTGTCCATCACATTCAGTTTCGTGGCCTCCAAGAAATTTGCAACAAACAAAACAATCACAAGTTGAATCAATGCGATGTTCAAAAAGCTAACCAT